CCCGCCCCCCATCTCCACCAGTGCCCCCCACTCCCGACCCGCAGCCCCTGCCAGCCCAGCCCTGCCCCCCGCCGGCACACAGCTGAGTTGCAGTGCTGGGGGGGGCAGTGGAGTCGGGTTATTGCAGGAAGCTCTGGGGTTGCATCATGAATCTCTGAGCGAAAGAAACTGGCCGGAGCGAGAGCTGGTGGAGGGGGAAGCGAGGGGGTTTCACCCGGGGCAGGCGGATTTCCCAGAAGCTTTTTCCTAAGGGAAATGTCAGTGTCACCCCGTCTCCTCTGGGGCCCAGTGCTGGGGGTGGGAGGAGCTGGGCACGGGACCCCTCGCCCGGCCCAGTTTCCCGGATCACCCTCACGTGAGCCGCCGGCTCTAACTGAAAGCACCGGGCGAAACCCGCTGTGCCTGGCGCCGGCCCAGCACCCGGGGCTGCGTCATGGGCAGCGTCTGGGCCGGGACACCCCTCCGGGCCCGGCCCCCCCATGGCATCCCCCTGCCGCTGGCTCCTGCCGCCCCCTTGGCCCGTCCCCCGGCCCAAGGGCGAGGGCTTGGCCAGGAGCCCCCAAGATCCCCCCACTACCCCCGGCCGAGGCGCCCGAGCCCCAGGTCAGAGCAGGGCCCAGGAGCCAGGCAGGGGCCCCACATGCTGCCCCCTCAGCCCAAGGGGGCTCTAGGTGGGGTCATTTGCATACAGGGCGGGGGCGTGGCCAGCCCATGGCCCCACCCAAGGGAGGAGGAGGAGGATTCCCAGAAGCAGGGGGGCCCCCACAGGGAACTTTCCCCCCCGAGCCGGGCAGGTGGTTTCCAGCAGTTCCCAGATGAGAGGCAGTTTCGGGCCAGGACCCACTGGGCATCCCCAGCCCGGCAGCCCTCAGTGCCCCACCGAGCAGAGCCCCCTGGAGCCCCCCCCCCCAGAGCAGAGCCCACCCCGAGCAGAGCACCCCCCCCCCGAGCGGAGCCCTTCACCAGGTTAGTTCACAACTTGTGTCTGACAAGTTCTTTATTGATCATGTTTTTGCACCATCCTGAGTTACAGAACGTGGAGGGGGGGGCCCTAGGGGGCCCCCCCGCTGCCCCCACCCCAGGCGCATGGAGCCCGGCGGAGGCCGCCCGGCCCGGGGTATCCTCCCCCGACCCTGACAATCAGCCCTCCGGGGGAACAGCACCATTTCCGGGGCTCCCTGCTCCCCCCGCCATGATTCCGGGGGGCACAGGAACGTGTTGAGAACTGGGGGGTTGCCAGGGCCAGCAGCCCCCATTGCCCCCGGAAGAGCCTGGGTGGGGTGGGCCGGGTGGGGGCTAGACCATGATCAGTCGGGGAGGGGGGTTCCCAGCGCCCCCAGCTGGACGGAGAGAGAAGGGGGATCCCCGGGGTCCCACGAAGGCAGCTGGGTCCTCGCTCCCAGGCGGGAGGGGGCAGAGTCCTAGGGGAGACGGGGGCGTTAGCAAGAGACTGGGAACCCCAGATCCAGCCCCCCAATTCCTGTCCCGAGAGCCCCTCACCCCCCAGCTCAAAGCCTCAATCCAAGGAAGGCCCCTCCAGGCCCTGCGCCCCTCTCCCTGGCCCCGTCCAGCCCCACCTTCCCCCACATACCAAGTCAGTGTCCTGTGGCACCCGCCGGGGTCACTCGTCTCCGGCCGCCATCCCCCGCACTGCGCCGTTCTGCCTCATCTGCAAGGGGGAGAGGGCGGAGTTAAGCCCTGGCTAGCCCCGCCCCCACAGAAACCTGCCTCCTCCCCTAGGGGGCAGACCCCCCCCGCCCCCACCTCATCCAGCTCCTTCTGCGTCTCCTCCTCCATGCGGCGAATGTCGGCCATGCTCAGATCCACCCACTTGTCCAGCCAGCAGAAGACCTGCCGGTTGAAATTGGTGAAGAGCCGTTGCTCTTGCTAGGGGGAGAGACAGAGAGCGGCGTCATGCTGGGGGCCGGATGGACAGGCCCCGTGGCCCGTTCCCCACCCCTGAGCCAGCCAGCCCAGCCCCGGGGCGGGTGGGAGCCGGCGCCCCGTGGAGGGGAACGGCCCCGTGTCCCGGCCCCGTGTCCCTGCGCCGGGGCGGGTGGGAGCCAGCGCCCCCTGGAGGGGAACGGCCCCGTGTCCCTGCGCCGGGGCGGGTGGGAGCCAGCGCCCCCTGGAGGGGAACGGCCCCGTGTCCCTGCGCCGGAGCGGGTGGGAGCCGGCGCCCCCTGGAGGGGA